CCCCAAAACCCCAAAACCCCAAAACCCCAAAACCCCATCTATTGATATTGATTTTGAATATTAGTAAAAATTGTTCACATTTAGTTCAATTAATTCAATCAAAGCCAAAATTGACTTGAAAGTCTGCCTTCAACTCATTTTTCTATCTGTAGACTAGTGGGTTAAAGTAGCATTCAATAGCAATTGAAGGCAATTAAAGAGATAATCCAAAGCCTAGAGAAGCTCTGCCATAGTCTCTTAAAAATGTCTTTGCACTCATTGGTTCAACTTAATTTTAAATATTCCTGTTAGGAGCAAGAGCGAGATTTGTATGCAAAAATGGCTTAATGTGATAATTGCCCAGCAGAGGGATATCCATTTGCAAAATCTTTACATTTAGATTCACATACTTATCAAACCCAAGGTTTTCTCCGCTTAAAGCCTTGTTTGGATTGGTATTATCATAGTGATAGCCGATATTTCTAATGCCCTTAAAATTCTTAAGATAAAAATTATCGTTGATCTTAGTTCTCTTTCCATCTGATATATTCCTCATAAAACCTGATGACAGATTGAATTAAAAGAGTGCTTTCTTATAACTAGTGAAATAACGAGTAAAGAGTTTAGCTTTCAAGTATTTGATGTCTTCATGATTAGTATCCACTTCAGTAGAGGCTCTAATGCATAGATTATTGCTAAGTTCACTAGCATCAATGGGCAAGTTAAATCTCAGGCCAAACTTTGCTGAGTGCATTGTGTCACCGCCTAGAGCATTTTCCATAAGAAGTCTGCTACTGTGATTAGTATTAACTCTGTTTGATCTGGTTTTAGAGCTGAATTTGAGATAGGCATATTAATCAGGATCGTGAATTGCTGAGTGTCTAAATAGTTTAGAGCTCTAATGATATTTATCTAGATTGTACAAGAATTTCAATGAAGTTTTATATAAGTTCTCATGTGCATTGGTATCTACTGTTCTGTAGTTAGTGGAGTATTACCATTAAGTTTTGATTTTGAATTGTGAGAAAGGCTTGAATTCCTTGATGAAATAGTACTTAGAGTCATATCTGTCATAGTTCCATTTGTATCCAAATTCCATGAATTTAAAAGGTTTGAAAAGACCTCCAAGCAAATGAGAATACTTCCTAACAACAAATGAATACTGAATGAGTCCTGGATTTTGATAGTAGCCTTTATATGGAATCAAGAAGTACTAATTAGAATTCTCGAAATCTAAATATCCTACTCCAGAGTTTGGTTTATCTCCTATAATCAATGATTTAGTAATATGTTATATTTCAAATTTTTGAATTCTTGACAATTATCCTTTGAATAGAATGAGGCTTACCCTTTAAAAGTGAAATATTGCAAGTCTTGATATTGCTGCTGATCCTGCATATTCTCTCAGCGTATTTATAGGTTTCATCCACCATTATTTTCAGGTGTTTAGGCTTGTTTTTAATGTTTTATGGTATCCTTTTTAGTTGACTTGCTATCTCTCCTCTGTCTCTGTCAGAATATTTCAAAGTTACTAGATTTATATGGAACTATTGAAATAAAGCTTCAGCGTACTTATTATGCTCCTCATCAATGAATACGTCAGAGTATGGATCATATTCAACTTTATACTTCTTTCTACTATTTCTTTCATTAGGCTTAGGGATCCAGTTCTTTCTTTATTGAGATTAAGATTTTTGAACTGACTCAGATTTTTTATCCATTGAAATATTTAAATGATTAAAAGTATTATTATTAAATCAATTTATTAACAATTTAAGAATATTAAACTTGATCTTAAACAATTGCATCACTAATCAATATAGAGGAGGATATTTAGCCTTGAATGCGAGTGAAATTTTAAGGTTTTTCACTTGATTCACTAATTCCAATACTTTTTCATTGTTAATCTATTGCTAATCTCTCTTATAGTTATTTGACTCATTAAGTCCAATCATTTGAATTCTGATCTGTATTTTACCAAGAGCCTCTACTACATCTTAAAATTTATCAGTCATCTAAAAAATAAACTAAAATAGCTTTATGCTTACATTGGAAAAACTTTGCTGATTAAGCAGAGCCTTGTCAACAATCTATCCCAATTAAGTTTAAACCTAATTTTAAGCCAATCGACTAAGGTCTCTTTTCATAGTTTCCTCGAAATCATCATTGAATTTTAAAATGCTCTCTTTCAGATCTTCCAATTACAATTTCAGTTCATCTAGGTCTTTCTGGCTCGCCAGATTAATCTAATCCTAATTTTATCTCATAGTTTAAGCATTCAACTCTTTATTCTTCTCTTAGGTTTTTTCAACTTTAAACATTAAGTCATCAACTATCATGTCTAGTTAATCTAAATTATACTCATCTTCCTCAGACTTTGGAAAACCAGGTGGAAACAATCTTACTGTAGGCTGAAATACTTAACTCTGATTCACAGATATATGATTCATTAACTTATCTTGCATAAAATTCAGCTATTTTATGTCTATATTTTCTCTATAAGGAAAGTATAAGGATAAGCTTTAAAAATTGTAGGACTTACATCTATTATGAATTCAGTACAAAGGTAGCAATTCTGACTAGAAGTTCTATTGAATCAATAGTCCCATTTAAGCCCTCTATAGACTTATCTAGAATATTTTATGTTGCACCTTGTTTATCAGAATAATTCACAATTCCAATCTGTCTTAAAATAGACTCAATTTACTCTACTTTTGTAGTATATTTGCTCCCTCTAAATTCATCAGAAGTCATTATACCCGGTTCATACTATTCTAAAAGCCACTCAATCAAAGATAGTCTCATTTCTCCTGGTAATATGAATGACTTGAGAGAATTAAAGAGTTATTTGTCCTACTCATTTGGAATAATTAGGAGTAAAACATCTTCATCATCTTCAATAGTCTTGACTGTTTTAATCTTTGTAGCATGCTCAATGTTTTGTTTACTATAATGCTTAAGATAAATAGGACAGTTCAGGGAATCTCTGAGCAAGTAATCTAATCTCTTTAGGTATTTTGAAGCAAGATAAGTCGAGCTTTTAGCGGTATCAGACATTTAATGATTGCAAATTGAAATTTTTAAATTTAACTTAAGTTAATCAAATAAATTAATCAAAAGGGGTTTTTTATTCCAAATTCGAGATAGCGGTAAAGCTGATATCATTACTCAATCTTTTTCTTAATCTCTATCAGGCTTGTCAATAAATATTTGACCTAGTGCTTCGTCATCTTTATTGAAAAGCTTTATTCTCTTAGCAGCAGTTTAGGTATAAGGAGTCAATAGGTAGCTCAGGGCTTATTTGGTTAAGCTACCTATCTAAGGGGCATCTGACTTTTCTTAGGTAATAATTTATCGCTATTCATAACTATATTTCTAATTGTTACCCCACTTAGATACTGGGAGATACCAAGCCCCACTAAAGTTCTTCTTTTCCTAATCCTTAGTTGTCCCTCCTCCTTATCTCATTGTGATTAGTTTAAGCTGCTTTTGCTGTTTATTTAATTCTTTATCATAAGTACTAGCAAGAGTTTGCATCATCTGCTGCTAATCCAAATCAACATTGAATATATTCTCATCTTTGAAGTCCCTCTTAAGATCTTTAACGTCATGTTCAATCAAGCTGAGTTGCTTTCGATCCCCTATTTCTTTAAGCTTTCCAAATCTCTTCAAATCATCTAGGTAAAGTGGCTTAGAATGATCAATTCTGTTGTGGGTATTATCTTTTTTCAGAATAAATTTGAATTCATTAGTAGGTTCTCTTTTCTTAAATAACTTTTGCATTAGTACTTCTGTAAAATCATCAATATTTGACCTAAGGCCTGGCACTCTATCATAACCTTTGATAGCCTTCTCATACTTCAACTTCTCTAAGAAGATAAACTTTTTCAATTCTTCTTCCTCTTTTTTCTTTTCTTCTTCCAATTTCTTATCTTCTTCTTCCTACAGCAATTGTCAATCTATCTTGCTTAATCTACTGGTCTTGGATTTGTTTGAGGATTTAGAAGACTTTCTATGCCTTTTCTTATGCCCAACACTTAGAGACTCGAAACGAAGTCTCTTCTCCTTCACAATAGGAATATTCATATCATCAAAGATAATGTGATCTTGGACAATAAGCATTGGATTATTATCTGCATCCCTTAGGGATTGTCTATCTGTTTCAGAATAATACTGATAACTTTCAGTCCAGGCTTAATCTTTGGGAATCTTAGTCAACTCTGTGTTTACTCCTAACTTATTCTCTTCATCAGAATTTTCCTCCTCAGAGGTTTCTTCTTAATTATCGAGGTTATCCATTTTACTAGGAGCAGGTTTTTGTCTGAATAAAAACTCATCATTGTCCATTTTTTTCTGATCAATCTCCTGCTCTATGAAATTGCGAGGCTCTTTCATCGCTACTCTTGACAAGAAGTACGATTAAGAATTTTTATCTCTTAGATTCCATTTAGAGAAGTCTTTATTAGATTTAATAAATATCTCAGCTGATTTCTCTTTGTTTACTTTTGAGCAGATAGTCCTGAACTCGTGCTAATGTTCTGTGAACTTTATTTCCTTAGAATCATAGTCTATTTTATCTCCCTCTTCTGCTACAATAGCCTGGACATCCTCGATATCCTCTTGATTCATTCCGAATGTCTGATATGTATCTTCAATGAATTCTTTAGTAAATTAGTCTCCCCCGTTGTCCTCTTACTCTTGCATCAGCTTTTTATTTACTGTTTTCATCAGTTCAAGTGACTAATAATATATAATTAAATCTCAATCAAGCAAGCTTACAGGTTTTTAAGTGATATCAAGCTTAGGCACATAATTCATTGTCTTTTCAGAAGGTTTAACTTTTTAAATTATAGATTCCAATGGTCCTAACTTCTCGTAATGTGCATAATGATTGTTTTCAACCTTTCCGTATTTCTAACGTTCTGAAGCCAATCTCACATGCTTGGCCACCAAATAAGATACTTACTTCTATCTCTGCATTAAATTTCTGTATTCTTTGTTATCATCAAGTTTTATAGGAGGAAGCACAGATTCAGTTTAGACATGAGTCAAGAAAAAATCCTTGAGTTCATTATCTTATGTCTCTTAAGCAGCTTATAATATCTAATCTACAAAGGACCCTTTAGCCCCTCTCTTGCTTCTCTTTTTAGATACTTCACTTTGGGAATCAAATTCTTTCTTCAAATTCAGGGAATTAGTACCCTTTTATAAAGTACTGCTCATAAGTAACGATGCACCGTAGACGCTTTTCAAAGATTTCCCACTCTCATGCTTTATCATTCTCACAGTGGATCAAACAGCTTTAGGTGAGGCATTAGGCTGGTTAAGAGTTTTTGAGTTGATGAGTACAGCTTAAGGATTGAAGAATTTCCAATTTTAATACTAGTCAACAGTCATTCCCTAACTGGGGTTAGAAGAGGCCATAGTATTTTTAGAGCCAAGCACTGAGTTGTTTTTAGGCTTAAGCCCTAGAGATTAATGCGAGTAGCTTTTAAACATTTTAATTTATATGAAATTACAATTTTACCAATTAATTATTTCTTTGCTATTCTTTATTATGGGGTTTTGGGGTTTTGGGGTTTTGGGG